GAATTTTCATTATGGATGCTCTGCAGAAGCCATTTATAAGCCAAAGCAAATTAAAGGACACATCTAGAGAGGACGTATTAATGCAAATGCAGTCAGAACTAAAGTTTTGTCTGAGCATGGGATAAGCCCTATGAGAGATGCTTTGTACGGATAAGCCTCACAACGGATTGCAACGTAAAAGCAAAGGCAAAGCAGGGTTATTATGGAATGAGAAGCATGTAAAATATAGGACACTGCAGACAGAGCAGCTGGAGCTGGGGATTCTTCAGGCACTGCCGAAGCAGGACTAGAAAGTCCCCTTGTGCTCTGTCTCCAGCAGCAGCATCAGGAGATGCTATCTTGACTGGAGATTTCTGCCCCAGGCTTTCGTTATGCAAAGCCCATACTCCTTCCTCCCAGCAGCTCCTGTTTGTTTCGGTGCTCGGTGATGGTTTTGCTCGTTGCGGGCTCTGTCCCGCTGGGCGGTGGGGCAGGGAGCCGTGCCCGGTGCTCCGGCCCCTCCGGAGGCTCTGGGCAGCCGGCGGGAACAGCGGCACCGGGGGCTGCTGGCCAGGGCACACGGCTCGCTTCGCCCTGCGCCTCTGTAATATCTGTGATTTCACGTTCCAGCTCCTCCAAGGCTCATGGGTTAACACCATCTGTCCCAATGACTTGTGGAAACAGGATCTGTCTGCTTGGTCTGAGACCCCTGTGGGTTTGCTTCAAATTCCTCTCACTCTTCTGGACCAGTCTGCTGCAAAAGTGTCGGGTCCCAAAAATCCCCCATTGTGTTCAACAATGGAAATCAGTGCAAGGAAATGAAATAAGATTCCTCTTATTGTCCCCACAAAAGATGGTCCTTTTACACCTTTATCATCATTCTTCTGTAACTGGTCTGATCCAGAATTTTAATGTCTCTGAAGGAGGACAGTAAACAGAGCAAAGCATTTTTCAAGTTATTTTTAAATTATCTGCTTTACATTTGACCCACCCTGTTTTATGGGCTTCTCTGTTCTCCTTATTTGAACCATTGTCCTATTTCTTAAACACCAACCAATTTGCTAGTGACTTTTCTATTGAGCTATGCAAGTTGTTTTCTTGAATTTCTGTTTCTTTTTCAATCATGATATATTTTATCTTTATTTCTGATGCACTATTTTTGATACTCTTCAGGCTTCTCATGGTCTTTCTGCTTTTTATTTTGACTGTTCTCTGACCCTTTCATGCCCTCCATCCCTTTGCTGGCTTAACTTATTTTTATATAATTCCATCTATTCAGACTGAATATCTATGTGCTGGAGGATATTATGAAAAAAAAAGTCCTGTGGATTTCTCTTAGGTGCCATGACAATTTTGTCATAGTATTTTTATACTTTTTTGTTTAATATTACTCATCTTGCAAAACCAGTTCCTCTGCCTTTACCTACTACCATATTTTTCCTGTAAGTTTGGTTACTTGATAACATGGTATTTGTCTGCTTTTTCTTCTCCATTATGTGCCAGAGATGCCTGTTATAGAATCATGGAATGATTAGGATTTGAATTGACTTTAAAGATCATTTGATTCCAACCCCCCTGCTCCATGGCACTTAGTAGATTTTAATTTAGTCTGAGCATTTTATTTCTTCTATCTTTTTGGGTTTAGGCTTTTAGTACTGCTGTAGAAACATTTGCAAGTTCTGCCCTCACCCTGTCACCTGAAACTGGTGTGAACAAGTGGAATGGCACTGAAAGTGGCCTTGTTCACCTTCCTTATTTATTGCGTTTATGCTGAAATTATTCTACCATGTTTCTCAGAGGTGCACTGAGCATTTAGCCACAACCAGCCCAAAGGTCACATAAGACTGAAAGAAGAGCTCTTATGCTGTCAGCTTTTCTTCTGCTCCTACTGCAAGCACTCCTTCCTGATGTAGTGAGTTTTAGTGCCAACAGCCTGGCTGTATTATGATTAAAATGCATTTAATTATTCTTCAAGTTTTCCCAGTTCCTAAAATGCCTATCATCTCTTTCACTAACAGAGACCATGGATTTTTGCCTGTATCTTTGGTTTCGTGCCTGGGGCTGGCAGTATTTAAGAGAATGCTTTCAGTAAAGTCCTGTCACCCCAAATGAAGCCTCCAGAACACCTCCCTTGCCCCTCCTTACATTAATCCAAACAAGATGGATAATGACAATGACATTTCATTTTGTGCACCCCAAGTAAGTATGGGAATCTCATGGGATCTGCTAAAGTTGCCCTCCTACAGACAGCACAAAGAGTGATACTGTTGAGGTGGGAACGATCTGACAACTCCACAGGCTTCAAACAGGACCCTTGTTCTGTTTGTTGCTCCACTTCAACTCAAGAGAACAGACTTGCCACTTGGGCAGGTAATCCATGTTCACCTATGCTAGAAACAAACACGTTTTTTTGGAAGCTTACAGTAGTTTAACTTCTCCTTTGAAGAAGTAATTAATATTACATTTCCTTTAACTTTAGTAAAGGTAGCTAGCAGTTTGTTAGAAATACTTGAGAACACGAAAGAAAGAAACTAAAACTGCACCAAACAAGCAGCAAGGTGATATGCTGCACCTTGTGTTCACTGCAGCCCAGGTCCCAAGAGCAAACCCAACTGTACAGAGTATTCCCTTAGTTATTCAGCCGCTGCTTGTAAACCTCTCCTGGTCTGGGCAAGAGTTGCCTCCTCATCAGGATAAAAAATGTGCCATCCCAGTTCCACTTGCACTCTGCCTTTGGATAGCAGACACACAGCAAATGATTAAAGCAGCCTCATCTTGGCCAGATAGGGCTCAAACATGTCCCAAGTTCTGGACAAGCACTTAAAGACCATCCCTAATCATACAACCCGAAGCTCCCTAAGGTCTTTTTGCTCCCTGACTCCCAATCCCAAACTTCTCTGTCTCTTTCTACCTCTCCCAGGAAAAACGGCTCTCCAGAGCTTCCTGCTCACTGTCATCTGTTTTCTGTGCTTACCCATCTGTTCTACTACTATAAGAGGGACACTTGCTAGAGGGTACTCATACAGAACTCATCACTTACGTTCAAATCTCTCATATATTGTAGAAAACAAAAGCTCTCTGGTCACCAGTAGCATTAAACCTTCTTGTATTTACCTTATATTCATGGATGCTCAAGATCTTTACAATCAGGCTGTTGTGAACATCTTTAATTCAGAATTATTGCTAAGAACTTGTCACAAAGATGTTTTCTTCCAGACACAGTGGAAGAGGCTTCCCAGGGAAGTGGTCACAGCACAAATCCTGACAGAGTTCAAGAAGCGTTTGGGCAATACTCTCAGGCACATGGTGTGATTCTTTGGGATGTACTGTGCAAGGCCAGGAGATGGACTCGATTATCCTTGTGGGTCCCTTCCAACTCAGGATATTCTGTGATTCTCTGATCTCCTGATAGTGCTGCTCAGCTGGACTACCATGCCTATGTGGGGCTCCAAATACCAGCTGCGTTTCATACATGTAGGTAGACTTGGTGTCATGATACAAGACAAGAAATGTAGCATAAATTTACATTAAATTTCAGTATTAAATGGGAATCTAGGCAGTTCAGTAGACAATCTGTATTAGTTAATATATTAAATAAGTCATCAGAGAGATAAATGAAAAGCAAAGGTCTACAATGACCCATTGCAGTCTCTTCTTCCTACCCTTTACACATTCAACACTGTTTTTTGTCAGCACCTTGATTAAATTAATTCTTCATTAATTGTGAAGTTTCCTTCCTTATTGTCTGTTTCAGCCTTTTGGCTACTGTACCCATAGTGCTTTCAGTGCTGACACAATCACCTAATAATAGAAATGCTGATCACTGTAATCTCAGCTGCAGGAGAAGTCCCACAGGTCAAATTGACCTTTAGTGTAACCCTAAAGTTTCCCAGGGACAACTTTAACACTTGCATAGCAGTTCATCAGCCCTGCACATTGTTACTCAAAGGGAAATCTGATTGTTTAGAACATGGTTTAGACAAGTGTTACACTAAGTTGCCTCTTCTTTCTTGAGGTGTATGTTCACTTTCTCTGTTCTGACATAATAAAAGCAGCTGAAGCAGGTAGTTTTTACTACCAGTTTAGTAGTTACTACCAGTTTGGTTTTTACTACCAGGTATCCTAATACTATTATTTTAGGAGCCTCCTTTATTTGCTTGGTCTCTCTCTGGTGCTGAGATAGTAAGCATACATACCTCAAGTGTGTATCTGAGAAATTTTACACAACCAAAATGAAGCAGGCATTTATTTCCTTCTCTTTTCAAATTCTGACATTGTGAAAATCAGTTGAGTTAAAAGTGTGTGTGGAATTATAACCTTTTTTCTCCCTCATGCTGGTTTATGTAACTATACTTGATCTGAATTATAGCCTGTCATTGCTACCTACATAACACCAAACTTTTATTGTATTTTCAGAGGGTTTGCTAAAAGAAAAACCTTATGGGTTAATAACCCAAATTTGAAGGCTAGGCACACCCCATTCTAATGGTTTATAGGATAATTTAAGTCAGTTTTGATGGAGAAATAGCTTTTTTATTTTTAATATTTAAGAGAAGGTGTAGCTGCTGTCATGTAAGGGTGACAGTAAGAAAATTTGAAGACAAAATATTATGGGTCTGATAAATCTCTGCTTCCACTAAAAGTAAATAGGGGAAGAGATTAATACTTCATTATTTAGGTACCTAAAAGTTAGATTTATATAAAGTTCCTCATTTATCTGGGGAGACTTGTCTGATTGGAAGATAGCCATCTAAAATCCAACACTATGGCCCCATGAAAGTGGGGTTTTTTTCCCATCTGCTGACTGTACAATATCTGAAGGGAAATGAAGCCACTCACAAGCTCAGGAGGGCACTGACAGGTTCTACAAGTTCCCGTCTCCTCCCATGGTTTGGTGGCTGTGCTTAAGGGAAGGCCTGACCAGTACAGCAAATCCTGGGGTCTGGTAGCTGTCCCTCCCACACTGGCAAAATCACCATTCATGTACAGCTGGGTAAAGCACCACAATTGTAATGCCAAAGTGTTTTAAAATCCCTAACGTTTACTTCAAAAACCCAAGATTTTAAGAAAATATTACAGATTTTAGATAACCAGTCCTGTTACACATGATGACTCTTGGGAAATCTGGTCCTTGAACGTATTACAGAAGCTGGACATCCAAAATCAGATCGCAGTAAGTTTTCTGGAAAAAAACAAAAAACCAAAAATAAAAAAATCTAAATCTCCAAAACAAAAGAACCAAAGTACCACAGTGGCCTATAGATGCAGAGAAATAAAATTACTAGCAGTTGCAAGTGGTTAATACCTCTGAAAAAAAATGAACTGTTGAAGCCAATGCTTAAATATTGATTTCTATTCCTAAATTAGGCAGCCAATTTTGAAGATGTTGGCTAATAACCATATGTTCTGGTTTGACATTGGCACAAGGCCAAATACCCACATGAAAATACACCTTCTCTGGTGTCTGCTGTGAGATTTTGACCAGGAATAAACAAAGCAGGCTCTCATTTAAAAAGAAGAAAAGTTTATCAACTAAACTACAAAAACAATTACTAAACTACACACAAAAGGAAGAAAAAGAAAAAAAAAAAAAACAAACACAAGGAAAATGAAACCTCACAAAAACACTCTCCTCCTCCTCCTCCCCCCCAGATTCCCAATACAATACAATCCAAAATCAATTCTGGGTCCAGCACCACCCTTTAGAATGCTGAACTTCAGTTCCTCAAGAGGAGAGGGAGTCCTTCCATGTGTCGTGGTGGCCTTTTCCGTCCTTGTTCCGGTGCTCTCACCACCGGACCAGAATCAGGGCTGTTTCCAGGGTTGTCCTTTTAAGGAGGCTGTGTCCAGTTCCAGAAAAGCTCAGTCTCTCACCTCTGGGACGTCTGTCCCCCCCATATTTTATATACCCCCTGTGGCCGAGGGGTACCCACACTGAATCTTCTTTGGCTCTGGGACATTTCTCCCCCTGGACTCAGTCTCTGTATTCCAGGGAAACATAGCTCTGTCCATGGCTACACAAAAGAGTCCAGCATAAAATGCCACTCCCTCTTCTCCATCTTTCCAACATCTCTCACTCTCTCTCTCTCTGGTCCAGACCTTTATCACTCGCTCATCTCCTTCGTCCTCCTCCACTCTTATCCCTCGTCTAGGAAGGGTTAATGTTCTGTGAAGTTTTCATTGTCCAAAAAAGGGTTAAAAATTCCTCCAAGCAGCTGGACTCCTGGCTGCACTCCCCCCACCATCTCCTCACCCGGGCTGCCTGCTGCCAGCACATGTTTACTGCTTTCAAGGTAACGGCACACAAACACCGGCTGCACTCTCTCTGTCTCCAAGATGCGGGGGGGGAGGGGGGGAGGAACAGGCTGCCCATTGCTTCCCGGCATTTCTTTATTTTCTTCCTTCCACCCTTGGGGCCAGGCCTACCTCTCCCGGGCCGGGCCGCATGGCTTTTCCCCTCCCCCAGCCCAGCCAGCAACTGGGCCGGGGGAGAGACTCAACTCCTTCACCGCCGGAAATCCAAAGAGCAACTGCCAGGGGGAGAGCCCTGCTTTTACCCTGTGTTCTCGGAGGTGGATCCCATTGCCCAGTGGTTGGGCCAGATGGCAATATTCAAATCTGAGCACTCATTGGCCCCATCCACACAGCATCCCAGAAATCCTGTTTCCGGGTCAAACCATGACACCATAACACCTGAATAAGTGTTCTGATTTTCAGAGACTGTAAGACTTACGTATCTCATTAAAATCAATACCTTGAATAATAACTGCTGCTGTTTTGCAGAATTATTTTGGATGCTGCAATACGTATTTGTGCCTTTAAACCTCAGGCAGATAATCATGCCCTTATGTGTGCCATTTATTCCCAGGCATGTCAGTGTCTGGGTATTTGTCTTGTAGGACATAAGTTGTTACTTATTAAATACAACTGACCCAGCCAAAATAAATTGAGTCTAATCAGAGAGGCAAGGGAAAGAATCTATGTGGATGGATCTTAAACTTTTTCTTCTTGTGTACCCCCAAAAATACTAAACAGAATTTTCAAATTAATTAAAAACTTCCTTTTTTAATTGACTTGGATGGAAACAGGATCTTGTCTGACATTTTTTAAAAATGAAATGGAGAGACAAAGTTGAACCTTTCCCTCTCAAAAAGCTTTTACGTCTTGGCTATGTACTGCATAGAGTTAGAAGTCCTTACACTGCTAATTGTGTTTGTATGCAATGGAAACGGCATAGATGTGGACATCAGGAAACATTTATTTGCTAAGAGAGTGGTCACAGACTTGAACAGGCTTCCCAGAGAACTGGTTGGTGCCCCAAACCTGCCAGTGTTTAAGAGTAATTTGAAGAAAGCCTTTAACAACATGATTTAAATTTGATTGGTTGGGCAATAATTGTAGGTTCCTTCTGACTTTGCTGTTTTATTCTATTCTATTCTATTCTATTCTATTCTATTCTATTCTATTCACAGTAAATTAAATTAATATTTCCATCACTGCAATCTAACTTTACTTTTTAAGTACCTAAATGAAAAAACCAAAAGAAAACGGAGTTAAATTTACCATGTCTTTTTAAGACGAATTGAAGCCCTGAAGTTGAAATGCTGAGAGATCCTTATTGTTACAATGCAGACATGAACAGTGACATTTCGATGTTTGTAGTATTAATTTTTTTCTAGATAAACTAAAGGAAAGCAGAAGACAAAAACATCTGTTTCAGCCTGGGGACATACATTGGTGCTGCTCAGTGTTACCACTGGCACATCAACTAATCATACAGACATTGTTAAAACAAAGATTGTTTTTTAATCCTATAGAAGCATAGCATAATAAAAACTCAAATAGCCTCCAAACATATTTGACATTGACATACAATGCCAATAAATAAAAGCCATACAATGGATTGTGAGCTGTGGATGGATGAGCAGAAACAGAACTGTTTCTGTAGTAGCTTTCTATCAGTCACCTGCTATTTTTGAAGCAGGAAACAATAAAAATGACCTAGTGCTTTATTTTCTGTGGCAAAAGAAGTATTCTTTGAAATTTTTCTAAACATATTGCAGGAAAATGAATATTTTACATTAACACAATTTGCAGCTCATGGAGCTCAGATGTTTTAGAAATTATGCTGCATTAACTTTCATTCAAAAGGTCCTTGAAGATGAGCAGTGAGTGCAATCTAGCACTGTAGAGGATTAGCTATTTTGAAGAATAAAGAATACCCTGTGCTTTATCATTAGATTTGATTTTGTTCACCAGTCTGTGACAGAGCCTCTAATTGGTATGGACATACTGCAATGTGTGGACAGAAACAAATGATTTTTGTTAAATACTTGGGACTAATCAAACAAATTGTCCTGGGTGACACCAACTAAGCATGTTTGCATACATTCATTCAGTGATTTTGTGGTAATGGTTCCTGATTACAGTAATTTCCATAATTGGTACTTGTAAAGCCAACGATAGTTCCAGTAATTTATAGGAGATGTAGGTATTCCCTGAATTAAATGTTTTTCATGGCATGAAACTCAGTTATTTAACAGTACCCTCAGGACTCCTTTCTCAATGATGCCACATATTGGCAGCTTTAACTGATATAAGTTTAAATACTAGAAGACTTCAGTTTAGGAGAGTAATGGAATTAATTCAGTGGGAACTGAGCAAAGCAATTGCCTCCATATTTTACAAAAAAGGAAAAGACCACTCATTCTACCCTTTCCCTTAATGTTCTTTGCCTCTGCTCAAGCAAAAAGCTCAAAGATGGGTTATTTTTACTATATAAAAAAAGATCAGGTTTTTTTTTTTGGTGAAATAATCTAGGAGAAATGGGTAAAATGATAATGTGCAAAATGTGTTACCAAACTCTAGCTTAAGGGGTGCCAGCACCTATTGAAAAACCTCCTAGGCCAAGTACTTTCCAGCAATTATGTTTTTTAACTTGGCAAGGACTAGGATACAGTCAGTCTTGCAGACACAGGACTTTGGCTGGACACTGAAGACCTTGATTTTCTCACAGAAGCATCTTGGATAAGATTTGTATTGTGTGACAGTGCAGGGGATGTGCAGTCCTGGGGCAATTCTGGCTGCAGAAGAGTAAAGGAGCAGGAATTCTGCCCCTGCTACGAGCCCTAGAAAAGAGGGCTTTGTAAGGTTTATGTGCTGTGTAAGTCTCCATGTTCTGCCTCTGCCTAACAGCTTTTTCTTCAGGTCTCTATCTCTTGAAATCAGTGATAAGAACATGTAAGCATGTAGTGCTTTCCACAGTAGAACAGGGAAGTGCAAGGACAGAGGGTTCCAAGTCCTGTGGGGCAGTATGCAGAACTCTTAATACAGCACAAACTAGAGTGAAATATTGTGCTATTGATGACTGTGGATTGCAGGTTATTTTTTATTTATTAATATTCATAACATAAAAATATAATATTATAGGTTAATGAAGAATTAAAATAATTCTGCGGAACAAAAACCATTGTTTTGCTTTCAAATTCAAAGATATTTAAGACTCCCTGATTATGTAATCCAGTGAATCAGATTGCTTGAAGTCACTGCCAGTTGTTCCATTCAGACAAGTGTGCCTGATGTTTAACTCATAGTGACACTGGAGGAAGTTGACTGCATTTTGCTATCTTTCACTGCAAAAATCTGAAACAAGCACACAAGAGCAGAGAAGGTTTACTTTCCACATCTGATCTAAGGACTTTGTAATTTGTCATAATGCATGTTATGTTGTCTCCGAAAACTTTTAAGAAGAGAAAGGTCACAAGTCAAGGTCATCTTTCAACTTTGCTGGCTTGTAATGTGTTGCAGTTGCTCATTTTGAATGGTATCTGTGTAGAGATTCAGACCTGCAAGGGATTTTGCTGATTGTGTGAGGGGTTTTATATGGAAGTGAAGGCAACACACCCAATTGGTTTCACTCTGCTCTGATAGCATGAAAATGAGGCACTGTCGTGGTTCAAGCCCAGCTGGCAACAGGCATCCTTTCACCTTTCTCTTTCAGGCAATTGGAGCTTAAGCATATGGATGGTAGGTCTGCTTGATTGCAAATCAGTTCTGCTCTGCACTGAATTTGATCAGAATTACAGTTCTTAGAGATTTCCCAGACTGAGAAATACAAAGAGATTCAGTGGGACTGCAATTTTCTTGGTGCCTCTTTGCTGAGGGGCTGTGTTTTAACCAGCATGCCTCATGGAGTTCATCATACCAGCTTTTCTGAAGTGCCTTTATTTTTCCCTAAACACATCAAACCACATTTCTTGAGAGAAATCCAGATTTTTCTTTTCAGCAGTGTGTGGCATGAAATGCAAAAACTTTTATTTAATAAAATAAATGTAAAAACCATAGTTTATTTAATGACTCCTTCCTCTTGAGTGCTGGAGTAACATGCCTGTGAGTTTGTTGTAATCTGCTTGGCAAACTAATTTAAAAATAGTAATCCTGATTCTCTATTATGCTTAGAGAATTCAGCTCTGCTGGGTTTAAATTAATGCCATCCCAGTATGTAATGCCAGTGGATGCTCTGGAAGTGATGTGTTCTCTGAGAAACAAACCACACATTTGGACATTCTGCATGGTTAGTGGGGCTTTTTCTTTTTGGTTGGTTGGTTTTGGGTTTGGAGGTTTTTTGCCTGTTTGTTTTTGGTTTTGTTTTTTATTAAATAAAGGTTTGGCTACCTTGAGTCCACCTCAGGTCTCAATGAGAAGTATAAGAAGCTTCAGGAGTATGTTATTTACTATATATAAAGTATAGTTATATACTATACTTTATACTATTTAATAAATATGAAATAAACCACAAATAGTTCAGGCCATTGTACTTAAGAGAGCAATAGTGTATTTAGGAGTGTAAGAAATACATAGTCAAAGTTGAATTTTAAAGGATTATCAGCTACTTAGCATGTTAAAACAACTCCTTGGGTAAACAGTTGCTGGGAAAATGCTGTAGAAAAATCCTGATGGTATCATTTTGCCATCTAGATTTCCCCTTTGTACACAGGTTATGCAGCTGCTGCTGTTGTAACTGAATGGTTCAGTTGGTTCTTGGGGTTGTATCCATCTTAGCAGGTGGAGATGGCTACACCTGGGCTAGGCTCTGTTTCCTAAGAAGAGGCACTTGTGAGTACAGACCAATTCACTGTTAAATATATTGGTCAAATAGACAAACTGAAACAGGATCAAGATATTTTACAACAAGTGACATGGTGCAGACATTAATTAATTTCTGGTCTGTTCTTGATATGTACCAAAGTACATGCTCTGTCTCAAAACTGAGCCCAAATAGTCTTAAATATTCTAGAGGATTTACCTTGATAAATCAAATCTATTTTTGATGCTGTTTCTGCTCTGAGCAGGGGATAGGACCAAATGACCTTGCAAGGTCCCTTCCAAGATAAATTTTTTAATGGTTATAATAAGATTTATAAGAACCAAGAAATTCAAAATGAAATTTTAAAACGCGGTTTGAACTGTTCCTCTCAGTTGATCTCTTTATAATGTCGTGTCTCAAACTAAAGCATTTAAAATTTGTAAGCTAAGAAGATACGGGCAGCTGGTAGGCTTGACAGATCAGGTTTGTTCTGTAAAGTATTTCCCTGGTTGGGGATGGTGAATAGCATTACAAGGAAAATCCTATTGACACCATGCTATTCAAGTTCTATATTCATGGCAATTATAATAGAC